CCCCCCCCCCCGGAAGAACCGGGAAATTCGCCAGAAATGATGCCCCGGTTCTTACCAGCTCTGCAACGAAAAAAGAGGGGAGCAGCGGGGGTTTTATGGATGTTTCCGTCCTTAAAGTGGGCGGCAGTTCCTGTGTTGCAGTTCTCCGACTGAGCGCAACGTTTCAAGGGTTCTTGTCAAGTTCTACAGTGGTTTCGGGCATCATTTCTGGCGCTTTTCCCGGTTTTTACCCGCTCCGCAACGAAAAATGAGGGGGGCAGCGGGGGTGTTTTAGATGTTTCCGTACTTTAAGGGGGTGGCAGTCCTTGTATTTCAATGCTCCGACTGATCGCAACGTTTCAAGGGTCCTCCTCAAGTTGGACATTAGTTTCGGGCATTATTTGTAGTGAATTTCCCGGTTTTTATCCGCTCTGCAACCAAAAATGAGGGGGGGGCAAGGGGCTAAGAGTTTTGAAAACTCACTTTAAAGTCGCAGGCTGCCTTTGCGTTAACATTGGCAAGAAGTTCCACTCGGATTTGATGCTAAGTTTGAAGCTCTTCTGTGACTTTTCGCATTTTAATGCAATGTTTCATTGTAACAGGCCCATCCCCCCCCTCTACGGGGGGGCTGTGGTGGCCCGGGGGCACTATGAAGACTTCGGTATCAGACTTGGAGTATTCGAGGACTCTTTGAAAAGAGAAACGGTATGTCCAAGAGCCGCCGAAGCTACTCTAAAAAATGAAGGTACAGACCCCCTAAGTAACCTTTGGACCCCCCTAACTTTTGACAGGGGGGTCAGATCGACTTCCGGTTTGTGCCAAAAATTTTCTTTTTTCATGCTCTTTCTAACGATGTATCACATGATGGGGGTTGCCATTTGAAATTTTTGAGTTGCCCCCCCGCCCCCCCTCCCCCTGGGGGGGTGAAAAACTGAAAAGTACCTCAAAAAGTTTCCCCCTCGATATGAGGAAGGACGCCACAAACCGCAAATCGATATCATAATTAGAACTAAAGTTATGGCCAGTGGTGCGTAACTTTTGAATAACCCTGTATATTTAGGTTTGAACTATCGCAAAGCGGTGCTTCGAATATCAAAAGAATGATGCAGCCTCTGTCTAATTCAAAAATTATGTAAATGCACATAATATAACATGAAAAAGAAATTTAGATTTCATTTTTATGAATTTTTAGGTACCTATGCAATTTTTGACGATTTCTTGCGAAAAGAGGACATTTATACTTCTTTTCGTATCGAAACTATTGAGATCATAATTCCTCGCTCCCCCCTCTTCCCATTTGTAAGAGCTCACATATGAGAAATCAGTAGAGAAAGTTTGGAGAACATCCCAAGAGGAAGTGAAAAATTTCGTTTTTGCAAGAACTTCGAATGAAGTCACAAGTATGAAAGAATACAAAAAAAAAAAAAAACAGTATTCCAATGCATCTGCCTGAGCCAAACCCTCCCCCTCCCCCATCTGCTTTATTCTGGCACTCATTAGAGCTTAAATTTTATACTCTAATTGGAAAATTGTCGTACTTCTTGGCCTTGCCTTCCTTGTAAAATAGTGTAGACAGAGCACTATTTTACCATCTTATATGATAATACAGGGTTATTCAAAAGTCACGCACCACTGATCATAACTTTAGTTATAATTATGATATCGACTTGTGGTTTGAGACATTTTTCCTCATATCGAGGGGGAAACTTTTTTAAGGTACTTTCCAGTTTTTGATCCCCTCGGGGAAGGGGGGACGGGGGGGGGACTCAAAAATTTCAAATAGCCATCCCTCTCATGGCCAGTGGTGTGTGACTTTTGAATAACCCTGTATAATTAGGCATCTCTCAATGATGCTTCATAGAAGGAGTGAATGGTAGAAGTTTGTGAACAGAGATTTCTTTCAATTCCATATTCAGTGGCCTCAAAGTGACTCCCAAGAGTTTTATTGTAAGGATCTCTCACTGATTTTGAGCAAAACCTAATCATGTAAGCACCAAAACATTCCAACACAGGTATGGAGAGTTGCATGAGTTTTTTCCATTCAGTTTCTAAAACTTGGAGGTGTACTGAGCATCAAGGTTTTTCCTGTCACGGAAACTTGAAGGAAAGCTCTGAAAACTCATAAGCAATTTGAAATCTGGTCTCTGTCTGCACCTTGAATCGACATGACTTTTTTGATGTTTTGCTACTAAATTGCCCTCAGACTATCAAAAGAACAAAAATACCCAGACAATTGGAGAGGAGGGAGGATACAATGGCCTTCTCCTTGTTAGTGGAAGGGATTTCTTACCATCTATAGATTATCATCCATTTCTAGCCTACAATTTAAAAATTTAGTTGCCAAAGAAAAAAGTACTGCGAGCAGTTGAATTGAAACCTCCTCCTGTTTTTTCTCCTCCAAATCGTTAAAAAATTAAAAATGGTGCCAGGCATAAGTTTACGAGATTGAGAAGTAGGTTTTCAACCTCAGTATTGTCAATTTTAGGCTTTTCATAATTTTTAACAGTTGATGATGTTTATTTTGTTGACCCGTGAAATATAAAGCTTTAATCATAGCAATCACAGCAGTAATTTAGTCACCTCCTGACCAAAATACCACAAGCGCCATTTGTGCTTAGGTATTATGTTGCCAAATTTTTCTTAAGATAGTCCAATTTTTCACGGTAAAACTAATGAATAAAATTTCCCGAAAATTTTACCTTATGTTTCTTGCGCCATCAAGATTAATCCCTGAAATACTCATATAAGTATGTGCAAAAGTTTTAAAGAAAAAATGAAACAGTATTGAGATGTACAGCACATAGTATCTAAGCGCAAATGGCGCTCGTGATACTTTGGCGGGAAGGTGACACTAACAATATCTGCATTGAAAGTCTTAAATAAAAGATCTCTTCACATAGTGTAAGGCTGGCCCCATATGTTATGCAAAAACGTACATGAAATTGGTGAGCTCCCCAACTTGCCAGCAAGAGGATTGCCGGAAATGGAAAGCAATCACAAAAACCACTCAAGGTTTAGGTGACTCTGTAGCCATTTAAGTGTTTTCGATCCCCTTGGAGCTTGGTCATCCCACGTTGACTCAGCTGAGTCCAGTGGGGGGTTAAGGGTTTCCCCATCCAAAGTCCTGTTCGCAAAGGCCCGTTTTAGCAATTCTCATTCTCTGGCCTTCCTCTCTGAGACTCTTGATGGTGACACCCAATATTTACCCACCATATTTTCAAAGAATGATTCTAAATGAATTTTCCAAATAAACTCTGAACGAGCCATCAAACTTGAGCAAAAAGTGATTTATTTGCCCTTAATTTGGGATTTTCTCTAATTTTCAATTTTTTGGCTGTTAAATGTTCAAACTGCATTTCCCAAAAAATGTGCTCAGATTTTCGTTATATATTTTTCCTTCAAGCAAAAGATGTATACTCACGAATGGTATACTTTTAAGCGCTCAACCGAGAGGCAGTGCTTATTGCTTTCGACCCACCACTAGACTCCTAGAATAGTGGTAGTAGTAGGGAATAGCTACAGTGGTTGAACGACGCAACTGCTCAACAAAACATGGTGGACGAGATTCTCAAAATTTTCTTCAGATTAGCTGATAATACCTCTGCTAATGCAATTAAATATAAAATACCTAGTCGTAGACATAAGTAACTTTCCTAAAATCGTCATAGCTTTAAAGTTAACAGTTTTCTTATTATTACCTCTGAAAGTCTAGAATTTAAGTTCCCCGATAGTCAGTCGCTTAGAATGATGTAAAGACCCTGTATACCAATTTTCAGCTAAATCAGAGGAGCTCGGGTCCTGGACCTGGTTGAGTTGATAAGGAATGACCGAGATATGACCCGCTGCCTGAAAGACTTTCACATTTGCAGATTGTGCCCATTTGATTTTATTTATTTACAGAAAATAATAATTTTGGAAAAATTTCAAGTTATTCTGTTCTCGTATTTCATAGGAGCATCGCCGTTGTCTAAGTTTGATTTATGGTTTTCCTTGAAAATCGCTTCACCCGTTAAAAGTGGCTTTCTTTTCATAGCTTTGATTTGAAAAATAAGTTTTAGGTACCCATATTTTCTGTTGATTTGAATCGGAATAATCTACTATTTTCTATTCTCCTTCTGTTTGATTTTAGTACAATTAGGGGAAAAATTGATCAAGTGAATCAGGTATTAACTCTTGAACAGGAGAATACATGTGGGCAAAGATATGATGCATTAGACAATTGGACCAACCAACTTTCATCACTTCATCAAACAATTGTCAACAAAATGGCGTGATATTGATTGCTCAGTCCCAACAACCGTTCATCTTAAACCAGCCTGTCAGGTTTTAGTCAAAGACATCTCTCCTTTTTTTTAAGTAACTTAAATTATCAATGATTCAGTGGTTCCTTCCTTCTCCCCTATTTTTTATCTCTGTCTTTTGCTCTTGTTATTCCCAGTTCTTATCATTCAACAATAAATTCTGTCAGACTGAAAAAAAAAAATGATATTTCATTAGCGTTCTACCACCTACAGGCTCCTTAATGTGAAATGATGAAACGTAATGCATAAAAAAGAAGTGACCTGAATATCATAATTAATAATTGAGCGCAGAACATACATGCATTACAAACTAAAGATGAAATAATACCGCTTAATTCCATTTGAAGACTTTCCTGCAGGAGGGATGTATTGCGTTATTTAGTAAGTAATCAAAGTTCTTATTCTGTATCAATGCCGTATATATACCCGAAGGGAAACTGATTTTAGTTCGCTCGATTGAAAAATGTATGAGGACCCTGTGACTGAAGTCATAATTGGACGTATTTCTATCAAACGGAACTAAGCGCCATAGGGGGAGGAAGGTAGAGGGGGGCTTGGATTGGCGGCAGAAACAGGCGGCGCACAGTGCGATGATTACTAGGGAACGAGTGTCAAAAATCGATGTCTCCGTCAAAAATTGTTGAAATTTCATAAAAATTTGGTGAGTTGCTCTTCTTGGTACGTACTATCTTGCGATAAACAAAAATTTTGGAGGAGAATTGACGAGAACATTTCGAGGGGGTTTTTTGGCCCCGTTTTGAGGGGAAATCGGATAAAATCCTCTCAGCTTGATATCTCCCAGAAAAAAATAGGATATCAAGCTCAAGTTTGCACCAAAAAAAATTAACAAGTGCTTATTTTCAAAACACATCAATTTACTGAGAGAGAAACTAGTGCAACGTTGCTGTGTTGCCATTTTTCGTTATTTTTCATTACGGGTTTTTAAACCTTAAAGAACTTAAAATGATTTTTTTTTTTTTTTTTTTTTTTTATTGAAATTTAAGCTAATTTAATCATTCTACTTTTATTCCTCATTACTTCTACGTTTTACTTCCTGGTAGCTTCATTCCTATTGGTAAGCACTATTTATTTTTGATTTTTCCAATTTTTAAATCCTTTTTTTTTTTGTGGCGAATATTGCATTTTGAAATACTGCTCATTTTTAACCCTTTTTTCCAATTTCATGGAGTGGCAAAAAAAAAACACCGTCAAACACCGAACTTTTGTGCACGTGGATATATTCAGTGGTATGCGTACTTTCAGAAAATCAACGGTTCATCTGCCCGATGTTGCCCGTTCGGACCGGAATCATGATTTCATAGGAAAATTTGGCCATTTTCCCGGTGTTTTTGGGCTTTTATTCGACTTTGATTCAGAGTTCACAAATTAACCTTCAATTTTCAAGACATTTGGCACTGACACAAATAGATAATACTAAAAATGGTGTAAAGAAATGGTAAAATTCATTTTTAAGTATCACATGATGCCAGCTCGCTCTAAAAAATAGCACATTTCTGTAATATTTGTATCCATGCATATATATATATCCGTTCTGGACGCGCTTTGCGCGTACGTCACGGCCAGCCAAGGGGCTGCGCCCCCTGGAGCCCCGATCACTCGCTACGCGAGTGACATTAGGCTCGCTCCGCGAGCCGTTTTTCTCAGTGATTGGACATTTGATCACTGAGATGTATACATTTTGGAGACTATGGAGGCAAAGATGATTCGTCACAGAACCTTGTTGCCGGAGCGTGCCATCATTTGCACATGAATAGATGTGTGGAGATGAAGCGATGATGGGGATCGATCATTTCTTCAAAAACGCATTTGACTGGGACGTCATCCCATCAGGTGGTGGAGAAAGACAATTCATGGATCTCCTTCCGTGATTTGACTTGCTGAAGTAGCAAAAGTTCATCTTTACCTCTTAAGAAGATTATCGATGGCGTACGGGTCTAAAAACTGCTCAACGATAGTATAGTTCGAGTTCCGAATCGCAATGAGCCCACTCGTGTTCTTTTCTTATACTTTCATCGCATATAAATTTCTCTGATGTTTTTGTTTCATTCTCTGTGATCACATATTAGTAATCATATCCTCATTTCATTTCATTTCCTTTCCCTTTCCTTTTTCCCTTTCTGTAGCATCTGTGTCCATTTACAATTATTATTTTAAAATAGCTTTCCCCTAGTATACAATTGATGCTTCAAACGGAATCAATTGTTTTAATGACACTTCCGGCTAAATCATGGGTTTTCCCAGGAAGGCAGCCTCTCGTCCCTCCCGGACTCAATTGTTGCCAGATAAGTTGCTTTTTTAGCACTTTTCCCAATTAAAATCCATGTACAATATTCACTTTTATTGCCCAATCTGGCAACCTCTCGAGTGAAATAGAAAAAGGTAGAATCGCTGAAAGTCTGAATCCTTCGAAGTTTATATTAATGATATGAACTAATTCCGATTACATGAACCTAGTTTCCAAAAAATATTGATATGAATATATTAAATCGCATGTAAAATAAGGGAAATTTGAAATTGAAGTGCTCAGTGTCGCCAAATCTCGTGAAAACTTCCATTTTCGCAACGCTCGTTTTTACGTTGGTACCCGAATAATGGTAAAATTCTTACAAATGATCATGATTTCTGTTCAAACGGGGGGCTACGGGCAGCTGAACTTTTAATATTTTGAAAGTGCACATACCACTGAATATGTCCACATTGAAATATTTCCAATAGTTGTCATTAGTTTTTTTTTGCCACTTCATGAAACTTCAAAGGAACGTACAAACGAGCCTTGCAAAAATGGAAGTTTTCATGAAATTTGGCAACACTGAGCTACTTCAATTTCAAATTTCCCCTATTTTACATGCGATTTAATATATTCATATCAATATTTTTTGGAAACTAGGTTCATGTAACCGGAATTAGTTCATATATATGCATGGATACAAATATTACAGAAATGTGCTATTTTTTAGAGCGAGCTGGCATCATCTGATACTTAAAAATGAATTTTACCATTTCTTTACACCATTTTTAGTATTATCTATTTGTGTCAGTGCCAAATGTCTTGAAAATTGAAGGTTAATTTGTGAACTCTGAATCAAAGTCGAATAAAAGCCCAAAAACACCGGGAAAATGGCCAAATTTTCCTATGAAATCATGATTTCGGTCCGAACGGGCAACATCGGGCAGATGAACCGTTGATTTTCTGAAAGTACACATACTACTGAATATATCCACGTGCACAAAAGTTCGGTGTTTGACGGTGTTTTTTTTTGCCACTCCATGAAATTGGAAAAAAGGGTTAAAAATGAGCAGTATTTCAAAATGCAACATTTGCCACAAAAATAAAAGGATTTAAAAATTGGAAAAATCAAAAATAAATAGTGCTATCGAGGCAGACACCTTTTGGTGTATTTCACATGTTCCCCAACCGCGGGAGGGGCACAGGGCGGGGGGTAAACCCCCCCTCCCCCCGAAATCGAAATTTTAAAATGGCACCCCTATTTTTTTATTTTAGAAATCAATTCTACGCAAAAAAAAAACAAGCTAAACTGTCCAAACCGGACAATTTTTCAGCGATTGGCAGAGGTTGAAACATTTTTTCATGCTCTTTTCAAAAATTCCCCACGCCCAATGGAATTGCGGTATCAAACCAAGCTCTGCGCCAAAAAGCTTCTTAAACATTCCATTTTCGATTAGTGTTTGACACAAATTATTATTCTTTTTTCCGAAGCATAAAAAACCATGTCCATGAAGAAACAGCTTAGTATACAAACAAATGAATTAGCTTTCTTTAGGTGGGTTTGAATGATTTGAGCTGGACCTTGATACTTTTGAGGACACTATCTTTCCGCGGTGCGTGGCAATTTTCCGAAGTTCATTTTGGATGACCCACGAAGAATAAACGGAAAGTTTACCCTTGTCCTTTGTTGAAAATGAAAGCTTCCTCTCACAACTTCTGATTAGTTTACTGACTTACCCATTTTAATATCGAAAATGGGCTCCGCGTGCTCCAGTTTTCAAGTACAGCATTTTTTTTTTTTTTTTTTTTNTTTTTTTTTTTTTTTTTTTTTTTTTTTTTTTTTTTTTTTGTTTTTAATCGAAAGTGTAATGTTTAAGAAGCTTTTTGGCGTAGAGCTTGGTTTGATAGGTACGGCAATTTCATTGAGCGTGGGGAGTTTTTGAAAAGAGCATGAAAAAAATGTTTCAACCTCTGCCAATCGCTGAAAAATTGTCCGATTTACATCCGGTTTGGACAGTGTAGCTTGTTTTTTTTTGCGTCGAATTGATTTCTAAAATAAAAAAGTAGGGGTGCCATTTGAAAATTTCGATTTACCGGGGGGGGGGGNTTACCGGGGGGGGGGAGGTGGTTACCCCCTGCCCTACGCCCCTCCCGCGGTTTGGGAATATGTGAAATACGCCATAAGGTGTCCCCCTCGATATAAACGAAGACGTCCTTTACCGATTTTTGAAATTCCAACGCGTTCGGCAGATACTCCCGATGGCTCCTTTTTCGTGAGACACCCTGTATAAATGCTACACTTCTACTAAGGTCTTCAATCGATCCTCTATCCTAGATAAAATATTTGTGCGAATTAAAACTTGATAAACTACGTTTTCAAACTAGGTGGCTTTTGCGCAAGAGATACAGCCAAACAAATAACATCTCATTATACAGGGTGTCCAGAAGTTAACGTACCTAACTTTCAGGATCGATTGTTTGGCTCAAATTATGACTATTTTCCGATACTATATGTAATTTGCCCGTGAACGCTTCACAGCATAGCTTAGATATGCGCTTCCAAAGTTGCCATTTGTTTTCTTTCAAATTGATGTAACTCCTCGTTACTTAGTCATAAGTGGCTGAAACTTTGCGCAGGGTTTTTTTTTTTTTGGCGTACCGTTCATTTTATGTGTTTTCAAGGTCGTGCGTCTTCGGAAAATAACGTTACGAGCGTTCTCAAATTTTAAAATTGCGATAAATTTTTTGGTAGATGATTTTTGGAAAAACGGATTGCGACACGTGAAAGAGCGCAAAAAATCAAGGACACAAATTTTCGCACAAAGTTTCCCAGAAACGCGTCATTTCGACGAAACAGAGCTTTGAAAAGTCTCCAGAATTTTGGAGCTCCTTGCTGGGTAGACAATTTTTACTGCGGGGATTGTAAGAAAATCG